TCTGGTCCAAATCTCCAGTCTGCCCTCCAAGCTTCAAAGATGTATCTCCAACTATTTGCTTAATATTCTCACTTTTATCTTTGATGGACACTTCAAGTTCAACATAGTTAGCACTGAATTCATCTTTCATAAAAAATTAATTATACCTCCTACACATAAGTGTATCTATGGTGCTATTATTTGTATATATATATTTTTTATCCTCACCCGAGGACATTTTTCCATTCTTTGCTCAGGTAGAGTGGGAGGGAGAGAGAGGAACAGAGAGAGAGAGAGAGAGAAACATCGATGTGAAAGGAACACATCGAGTGGCTGCCACCCTCACGACCGGCCAGGGCCGGGGACAAACTGCAACCGAGGTACGTGCCCTTAGCGGGAACCGAACCCGGGTCTCTCAGGACCGCAGGCCGACGCTCCAACCGCTGAGCCAAACAGGCCAGGGCTATTATTTGTATTTTTAACTAAGCTCAAAATATTTAAATCATCACTTACTTTTCCCTCTCACTAACCTCCCGTGTTTAATCAGTTTTGTTGTTGTTATTGGTGCTTTTCCTTGGCAGTTTTCACCGTGCCGGGCATACGCCTGTGGAACTACTGTCCAGGTTACTGGAGTTGCTTCCAAAGTGATTGTCCAGGTTGCAGTGTCTTCGCCTCAGTTTTCATTGCTGATTGTTTTCCTTTCTTAAAGTAAATTGAGGCATCTTGCTGTTTGCCCTGGTAACCCCACGACTCAAAGCTTCCAGGGGCTCCTGGGTTGGGGTACACCACGAAGGCCTCACAGACTTGCAGTTCAGTGCTTGGATCATTAATCACTTTCATTTTTGTTCTGCTGGCAAATAAGCAGAACAAGGACACTCGTGGTGGGAATGGGTCCTTGTTGCCTTCTGGCCCTTCATGAGGGTGCTGATGTGTGGTGGCTCTGAGAACGTCTGTGCAATGAGGAATTTGCTGCGTCAGAGAAGCTTGAAACCTTAATGTCATTGCCTTTTCGATCTTTCTCGGGCTTGTCAGAGGTGTTACTAGGTGTACCAGGGCAAGAGGCTTGAAACCGTTCCACAGCAACAGGGCTTGTGCTCTAGTTCTTGTTGTGTCATCAGCCCTCCCTGAGGGTTAGTAGAGTCGGTGGGCCTGGGACACACCTGCAGTCCATAGGCAGGCTGTCAAACATGGCCCTGCTCGACCCTTCTCTTTCTTGTGCTCAGAGCAGACATTACTAATCAATCACAGCCTCCTCTGGAAGTCAGGATGTGGCTTCACCATCCTCAACAATGTGCTTTGGCAATTTCTTATCCATTCATTCATTCACTCATTCATTCATTCACTCATTCCACAGACAAGTGTGGAACGCGTACAGTGTGCAAGCACTGTGCTAGGTCTTGGAGATACTACAAAGAAAAGTCTATGCTGATGGGCCTCACATTTTTAGTTGGGGATAAAGAAAGCAAACCAGTGAACAAAGATAACCTGAGATGCAGAAACTAGGGGAGAAGGATAAAGCAGGCCCTGTGACCGAGAGACTGGGGCACTGCTGCAGCTGAGAGGTGGAGAACGCTGCTCTCGCGGTGCGGCTTCTGCTCCAGGACCCGGCTGTGGAGAAGTGTGGAGAGGCGGGCAGTCCTGTGAACATCCCAGAGGCAGCAAACAGCCAGCAGAGGCCCTGAGGCTGGGAGCCAGCTTGGCTTGTTCAAGGACACCCAGGAGGCCAGTGTGGCGGGAGCAGAGCAGAGTGGGAGAGGGGTGCAAGGGGAGGGCAGGGCTCGGCCTTTTGGTTGACTGCTGCCTTCTCGGTTCCTGGAACAGTGCTGGGCACAATGCAAACGTATCTTTAGTGAGTAAATGGAGGTAGAGGCTCTGATGCAATATAGTGATCAAACCTTAATATTAAAGCTCTTTATGGTGTGACTCCTAATTGTCCTTTCAGTTCACCATTTCCTGGCACAAATAGATTTATGTATTTATTTTTACCACAAATATGCTGCAAACAATTTTTTCTTCCATGTTTTGCTTCTCTATTATCTTTGCCTCCAGGTCTCCTTGCAAGGTGTACTCTTTAAACCCCAGATATTATCACAGCCTGTGAAACTTCTCCAGCTGCTCAAAACGAGATAATTTCTCCTTCCCCAGAATTCCTACAACAGCTCTCAAGTGTGTCATTTGTTAATGCTCAACATAATAAACTAAAAAGCTCATTCATTGTCACTTTCTTTATCCTGGCTCGCTAGCCAGTGTTGTCTTTAAGGGAAGAGCTTATTGTCTATGTTTTGAAGTCTTAAGCCTCATGGTGGCCTTGCCCCTGGTTGCTGCTGGGTGTTGGTGGTGATGTCAGGAACTCCCCGGTGAGGCTCATTGTGGCTGTGAGGCATGAGGTTGGGGATGTGATTGGGCCCATGTGGGTCAGTGAGCCCCCTTCTAGTGCCTTGGCCAGGGAGGGCTCCAGGGTCCCAGGAAAACACAGGAGAAGAACTAGTCAGAGGGGCTGATGAAGAAATGTGTCATCTTGATGACCACCTTTAGGTTGTTGAAAGTCATCACCATGGCAAAGCCAATAAGTAGATTAAAAAATTTCCTTTCCTTTAACGCATCAATACCTTCATCTTCATATTCAAAGCACAACAAGTACTGAAACTCTTATTGTGGAAGAACAAAGTGCTGAGTGAAAGCCACACTTTAGATATTCAAAGGTGAAAAGTAAGAACCAAAGTCAAACGGAACAAACAAGAAGCAGTAGTAGTTAGTCACCCTTCAGGGATCCAGGGCATAATAACCATCAATGTAACCTTGATAAACATTGAGTTCTGGCAAGAAAGTTTAATTATCATGTACTCTTATCATTGGGTTAAATTAACTGTCACCTGGGAACACCTTCGCAAATGCTGAAACCGCGGGTGTCTAACTTAGGGGTACATGTGCTTTTTTGCTTTATGCCTCCCCCCCCCCCAGAGACATGAACTTTAAATGTGAAGAATTTAGTCAACTTGGTCCTTCTTTTAAATCACTATTCTAAAAAAAAAACAAAACACACACACACACACAAAAACAAACAAACAAACAAAAAACTTAAATTTTTAAAATGTTGGTTTAATAAAAGTAGCAATAGATACAATTTGCCCTGAGCAAAGAGACCATACATCAATAAGTGAACACTTAGCCTAAGCTATTTTCCGTGAGACCGTGAAGCATTTCTAAAAGAAACTTTACAAGCTACAATGCAGCAAACACGCCAATGTTCAGCTCTAGAAAGGGAATGTGATCCTGCATGCAGACACAGAAGCTTTTTAATTTAGCGAGAAGAAAGTGTGACTGTGCAGCTGGGTGTGTAATTTTTTAAATTGCTGAAGTGTCACTGTTTTTTATTTTATATTCATTGACAAATAGAAATGCCACATGTAACAATAACAATAAGTCTTGTTCCAGTCTGATGGCTTGATCCTACTAATTATGAAAATATATGCTAGCTGTAGTTGGGAATATTTAATAAAATATTGGAATAAATTTCTTGTGCTTACATTTTAAGAGAATGAATAAAAGTACCTTCATCTGTAATATTTAAAACTTTATTGATCTTAAATTTGTACGAAAGTACAGGGATGATCCTCCGTGAGGACCCTCATCATTGCACACAGTTCGGGTGTGGGGGCCTGAGGGACAAGGCTCGGGCAGGGAGGCAAATGCATCATCAGCAAGACCCTGCATTGGTCTGCCCTCCCAGGTCTGAGTCCTCTCTGCACATTTTTCATCTGCGCCTCACGAGCCTGTGAGGTGGCGCCCGCACAACTATCTCTGTTTGATAGAGGAGGATCCTGAAGCTTGTCCTGGTCCGGATCACAAAGAGGGGACCAGGCTTCATATACACACATACTCAAATGGACATTGTGTCTCCACAACTGTCCAGATGCAATGGAAAGACGTCATGACCCTATTTTGTTGCAGAGGAAGTGGGTGCTTGGGCTAAATCCCTCCTCCTCTCTCCCTTCACAGCTCAGGAGACATTTGTGGGACGCAGAGACCTCTGGCTCCAGCAAACTTAGTGCAAAACTTTACGTAGGCAAGTTCCCTGCTAAGCCAGAGCGGCAAGCTAACACCTGCAATGACTCATAAACCAGATGCAAAGGATAATAAAGGTGAATGATAGTTACTTAACACAGAAATCTTGGTGTTTTGAGTTTTCTTTCTTTCTTTTTGCTTTTTTTTTTTTTGAAGAACAACAATTAACAACTGTCATTTGAAGCTCACCAAGTAATTCTGCAGGATCAATTAAAGAACAAGTACTGGTTTGAAATGGTTAAAAGATAACAGTAAAGAGGGAGCCCCAAGACCACCACGCATCTCCTGTGTCTTCCTCCAAGGCGTCCTAGACTGAGGCCGGAGGACGGCCCTAGGCCCTGCGCAAGTGGGTGGCTTTAAGGCCAGTCTGCCTCCATTCCTTGTCTTACAACACCCGTAGTTCCGACCTAAGTCTCCCCACTTTGCCATCCCAATATGACTTTAGCCAATTCCTAATCTGCTGTAGACACGTCAATCCAAAGCTTTCCCGGCCTCCCAGGGACGAGAGAACGCAGGTGCCTCCGGACCAGCGGACCAGAGGCTGGCAAAGGCCTCACGCCAGACTCGGGGTAAGTTGTTTGGCCGCCTTCCCTCCAGGACCGACCCCGGCTCTGCGGCTTCTCCCAGGAGCGCGCGCGGATGGGCAAGAGAAGGCGGCGCGGAGAACTTGTGTCGGCCAGATGTCCTCCGCGGCTCCCGGGCGCAGCAAGGAACAGGTGCCTGTCCTCCGACGTCCGGGAGCTGCGCTTGCCGCCCCTTGCCGGCTGTCGCGCCCCTCCCCAGGCACCCCTTCGCCTTTGCGCGCTGGTCCCCCGCATCGCAGGGCGGGGCAGGCGCGGGCTCACAGGTAATTATTGCCAGCCGGGCGCCGGGGAGCGGGGGTGGGCGCGCCGGCGCGGGGCGGGCGGCGCGGCGGGGCGCGGGCATAAAGGGGCGGCTCGGGCCCCAGTGCCCGGATCCCGCGCAGCATGCCAGCCCGCGCCCCGCCGCGCCGCCCGCGGTCTCCGCCGCTGTCGCTGCTGCTGCTGCTGCTGGCCCTGGGCGGCCGCCGCCTGCGCGCCGAGCCTGGGGACGGCGCGCAGACCTGGGCCCGCTTCGCGCGCCCTCCGGTCCCCGAGGCCGCCGGCCTCCTCCACGACACCTTCCCCGACGGCTTCTTCTGGGCCGTGGGCACCGCCGCCTACCAGACGGAGGGCGGCTGGCAGCAGCACGGCAAGGGCACGTCCATCTGGGACACGTTCACCCACCAACCCCCAACGCTCCCAGGCGCCCTCCCGGTAGCCGGTCTGCCGTCGGGCGCCCCTGCCACCGGGGACGTGGCCAGCAACAGCTACAACAACGTCTTCCGCGACACGGAGGGGCTGCGTGAGCTCGGGGTCACCCACTACCGCTTCTCCATCTCATGGGCGCGAGTGCTCCCCAATGGCACCGCGGGCGCCCCCAACCGCGAAGGGCTGCGCTACTACCGACGCCTGCTGGAGCGGCTGCGGGAGCTGCGAGTGCAGCCCGTGGTCACCCTGTACCACTGGGACCTGCCCCAGCACCTGCAAGACACCTATGGCGGCTGGGCCAACCGCACCTTGGCCGACCACTTCAGGGACTTTGCCGAGCTCTGCTTCCGCCACTTTGGCGGCCAGGTCAAGTACTGGATCACCATCGACAACCCCTATGTGGTGGCCTGGCACGGCTACGCCACCGGGCGCCTGGCCCCCAGCGTCCGGGGCGGCGCTCGGCTCGGGTACCTGGTGGCGCACAACCTTCTCCTGGTGAGTTCAAGGGGCCAGGCAGAGAGCCACACCGGGGACAGGGCCTAGGGAGACGCCAGGGCCCAGAGGGGTGCCTGAGCCTCCAGCTCAGACGAGCAACACGCTTGTGAGGTCACCTAGAGTCGAAGGGGGCGGGGGGCTTAGGCTTTCCTTGGAGAGCGTGGAGTCGGGAGTGGGAAGGAAGCCCCGCAGTGGGCGCGCGCGCGAGTGCCCGGAGTGAGCGCCCTTTGGAGACCGTTTGTCAGGAAGAGGTTGGAATCACTTTCTCGGGTGAGAAAAGGCAGCTCCTTTCTTTGGGTATAGAGGAATCCCCAGAGCTAAGGCAGGGAGGGTTTGATAGTAGGTACGGGGAGAATGAGGAGGGTGGATGAAAAAGATACAAGTTTGTTCGGGAGCCGCGCAGCGATCCTCTCCGCTGGAGTTGGTGGCGATGGCAGTTCAGTGCGAACCCAGTAAGGTCTGTGCTGCTCGCGGCTCAGGCCACACCGCAGCGGATGCAAGGGCGTCCGGGTCGCACGTCCTGGAAGTGTCTTTGGAGTCCTTTCTGTCTCACCGTACTTAATTTGCAGGGGTGTGAAAACCCCGAAAACAATCTTAAACAAGACTAGCCGTAAAAATACATAAACACAGAATGTTACAGATTGTATCCTTCACGTGCGTTTCCATGTTGCTCTCTCCGACTGGAAGGATTCCTCCAGGATGAGACTCTTAAGATGACAAAATTGATTTCAACACCCTTATACAAAAGGCTTAATAAAATTTGACAGTAGAAAATGCTGATATGCCATGATAAAGTTGTCTCCCAAATAATTCTTCCTCCTTTACTTAGTGTTCAAGATTGGGTCCCATTGATTTGAGGGTTCATTTATAATGATGTCAGTTGTTGGTAGTTTCTACAGTTTTGTATTGAGAGAATATTTTATGTGTATGTGCAACTTTTTATTTTAATAAAAGTGTTTAAATGTATGACTTTTGGTATGGTATTTTGGTGACTTATGGGCCTACTGGAGGACTTATTTTTAAATTAAGAATTAAGCCACTTATTTTGAACAAATTCAAGACAGACCACTTCTGCACACTCTTAACGGAAGCTGTGGATAATTCAGGCATCATATCATGGGTTACTGAGTGGACCCGGTGCCCTGCACTGCCAGCGATGTTGTCATAGTGCTGAACAGACTGCATGTCAGCTCCACAGAATCTGCACCACAGATCCTAAGAGAATGCTGGATTTGGTTTTTAAAAATTGAGATGTTAGTGATTTCATATTGATCTATATCTTTTCATTAACATACTTCAGATCCTAAGCACCACCTGTTTATGGTGGTGACAGAAAAACCATGCGCAGCGCTGGCTCCTCTGATGAGGAAGACAAGCAAATTTCAGTCCATATCAGAAAAAAATAAATTCGTGGACAACTGGAGGACCAAATAGACCATTTCTGCAAAATCACTACTTTATATTTAAATCATACGAGTTGAATTTTTAGAGTGCATGTAATAAACTCCACATGTATGCAAAAGTCATCATTTGTTATTTTAGTGACTCACTTATTTTCATACATAGAATAAGAATTGGGACAGGAGCTCTCTGATACTCTGGTGTTTTAAATAGTCAACATGCTTTTGGTTCTTGTGCCTACTCTCAGCCCTTTGATTAACTTTGCAGTTATATTTTTGGATCCTTACACACAAAAACTTGCCAAACACTAACCATCTTTCCCAGAAATGCAGTGGACTTTGAATTCATAAGAAATTAGTGACAGGTGCACAGTTGTTTTGCTGATGCTGCAGACAAAATGCTAGTTGCTGTAAAACATTAATTTTGCTTTCAAATTTCTTTGATTTGGAATTTAGTCATTTTTGTGTCTTATGAAGTAACTTGTCCTTGTCTAAGAATATCTCAAATTAATTCTTCATGAGATATTTTTATTCTGTTTTTAATATTCTTTCTTGCTATAGTGTTGGGGAGAGGAGGGAGGGAAGTTTTGACCTTACTTGAAAAGATAAAAAGTATTCTGCAGGTTTTGTTAATAGAACATTTCAGCTGGGGCTTAGATATTGCTGTTAGGGGCCACTGAGCTCCTCACATATTCTTTGGCATTTGGGGGGGCTGATGCTAGTGAAGGCTAAAACTGGCAGCACCCCTCCCTGTGGTCCTGTTCTGTGCTTCCACTATAAAAGTAGGCTGAGGAGGCCAGGCCAGTGTGGCTCAGTGGTTGAGCTTCGACCCCTGTACCAACAGGTCACCAGTTCAATTTGCAGTCAGGGCACATGCCCAGGTTGTAGGCCCAATTTCCCAGTGGGGGCACGCAGGAGGATGTTCTCTCTCATAGATGTTTCTGTCTCCCTCTCCCTCTCCCTTCCTATCGCTCTCTAAATAATCAATAAAGAAAAAAATTTTAAAAGTAAAATAAAATAAAAGTAGGCGAAGGAGACTCCCTGGGGACACTGGAAATATAACCCCCTCTCCCCACCCCTCCCAGCACAGAGATTTCAGGATCATTGTTTGATGGGCTGGAGGACAGGAGGCAGGTCAAGCAAACTACAGGATGAATTATGGGGGGATCTGCTCAGAATGGAGGTCTCCATGTTCTTTTGTGCATTCCTGATACTGAGATAAACCTTGCGAGAGAGAGAGAGAGAGAGAGAGAGAGAGAGAGAGAGAGAGGATGAATGAGAAAGAGAGATGGAGAGAAAGAGAAACATAGAACTTAGAACTGAAAGAATTTCCCTGCCGAGTTCTGGGAGACTGGGCTGCTTTGCTCACCTGCATGAATAACACAGGAAGAGACCACACCTCTTCTCTGACTTGTAGGGGGACTGTGTGCCTTCACAGCTCTTGAAAGATGATTCTCGAGGGCCTGAAAAGCTAGCATTGAGACCTGCAGTTGCGAGTCCAGCCTCTGAGAGGACCAGGACGGAGTGGAAGACACAACGGGCCTCCGGGGATCTTGCCAGTGTTTGTACAGGGCACCTGTGGAAAAAGACGGCTTCTTTCACTGGGGGAGGCGGGGCCAGGAGGTGTCGCCTCGGGCACCGATGTGCGGTGCAGATGTGCGTGGTACTGAGCACTGCACGTTGACATCCCGCTCTGGCCCCGCCCACCGGTTAGCTCGTCTCTCTTCCCTGGCGCACCTCCTCAGCGTGGCTGCAGGACCCCACTCTGTCCTGCTCCTCCTCTCGGCGTACTGGTGATACCTTCTCAGTCCCTTCTGCCCTGGCCTCCTCGCCTTGCCTCTAAAGGCCCAGAACTTCACCTTGGTCTCGTCCCTACATTCACTGCAAGTGATTTCTTCGATTACTCTCTATATCCTGATGACTGCAGACTTTGGGTCTCCAGCCGGAACTTCGGCCCTGAGCTCCGGACATGGACAGACAACTGTCTTCTCCACTTACATGTCCAGCAGGTATGTTGCATCGAACACACCCAAAGGCAAACTCCTTTTCCCCCTTCTCCGTATGGCAACGTTGCTCTTTCAGTTGGTTAAGCCCAAACCTTACCTCCTCCCTTTCTCTCACATCTTGTTCTCAATCCATCAGCAGATCTGGCAGCTCCAACTACCTTCAGATGTATCCAGAATCCAGCCACGTCTCTCCCTATCTAAAGTTGCAGTCTGAGCACCCATCAGACAATTGGAATAGCTTCCTAGCCAATGTCCTTGCTTCTGCCCTCACCCCTGGCAGTGTGCTGTGATGGGTATTTTCAAGGATGTTGTTATATCGGAACAAAATTAAGTGCCCTGTTTATGAAAATCCCACCTTTTCTTCCAGAAGCAGCTAATTGGCTCCCTTCAGCCCCACACCTGAATGCTATTTCTCCCTTGTGGACTCCCACAATGCCTCATTCTGATGGGACTCCCACAATTCTGACACCTCCTACCATCTATTTACCATCTGCCCCTTACACCTGGGCACTCGCTGGGCAGTTCCCTGAGTGAGGAAACCACGCCCACTTCCTCTGCCCTAAAATGGCATCTTGCCCTTGGTAGGTGCTCAGTGAATGACTTCTGTTCCATAGCCCGGCTCTGCCTTGTGAATGCTTCTAGGACTTACTCTCTTTGTCAGTCTTTCTGGCTACTTTCCGGTGGGGAGCACCAAATCCTAACCAGATAGGAAGATCAGTAAACATAATGGGGCAGACTTTGACATTTTCAGTAAAACTTAAAGATCACCATCAAATTTATGACTCCACTGTAAAAATTTCCAGATAATTAAAAACTGTGATCACTATGAACTTTATGAAGGAGTTTTCAGGACGGGAGGTAGGAGTCTCCTGGCTGAACGGGAAGCGGCAGTGTAAGCTGGTTGGACTTTCTTTCCCCAAGTAACAGGAGAGGCCGTCTGTCGGTAGACGCATGCTCTAATTGCGCACGCATGTGCTCGGGGGGAGCACTGCACCCGCTTTCCTCTCGTTAAAATGTATTTAGTACACGGATGGAATAACCGACTGTGCGGAAACAATGTATTTTACAGAATACTACGAAATTCATGTACGTTTAATCAGAATTAGTTAAAATATCTCCCAAAGAGCTTGACACATGCCTCTTTGTCTGATTGAACAGTATTTTTATGAAGGTTACAGTCAAGTCCCAGAAAAAAATTAAGAATAGAAAAAGAACTAATAAAAGTATTTTAAAATCGTAGCGATGTTTAACAATGTCAATTATATTGAGTTGAAGAAAAGAGGCAAAATACAGACTACGAAGCATTCAAATGATGTCAATGTGCACTTCTTAAGCACAAAGTGAATGAGAGCCCAACTGTGTCACCTGGGTGTGCAGTTAGTCATGACTCTGCACACAGACGTCTTCTGAGTTATCTTAACTTTTCAAACACTGTGATTGCTCTAAGTCAGAATTTTATTATAATGAGTTTGTACAAAAGGTGCCTTTCTTTCAGTGACTGTTATCTTTTCAAGTATAAAGTAAGTGTTAGCTGTAGGAGGAGAATACAATACATATCTATTGGGAGGACAAGAAATACAGACTGAGTGAATAG